GGGAGAATTTAATCATACACGCTATGATTATAATTATAATTTAAAGTTCAAAGGACTAAATGTGCGGAAGCATTTGTATCTTTTAAATTCGGACTTGTATTGCCCATTTGGTGCAAAATTAATTTGAAATCAGATAAAGATTTATGGGAGCTATATCCAAATCTGAACCGATCTCGATAAAATTTAGCAAAGGTATTTCTAAGCTGCATTTGACTTATTTCCCCAAATATTGTTGTTACAGAGTGCATATTACGGCTGCCGAGGACAAACATAACAAATCGGATGAACAATATATATATGGGAGCTATAGCTATATCTGAACCGATCTTCACTAAATTTGGCATACTAGTTTCTAGACTCAATTCTGTCGTATGTGCCAAATTTCATCCTATTTAGATAAATATTAGACATTTGGTGCACAACAAAAGATAAATCGGACGAAGTTATATATTGGAGCTATATCCAAATCTGAACCGATCTCGATAAAATTTGGCAAAGATATTTCTGAGCTGCTTTTGATATATTTCCCAGAATATCGTTGTTACAGAGTGCATATTACGGCTGCGAAGGACAAAAATAACAAATCGGATGAACAATATATATGGGAGCTGTAGGTATATCTGAACCGATTTCCATCAAATTTTGCATACTTATTTTCAGCCCTAATCTGATTTTATGTGCAAAATTCCATACTATTCGGGCTGATACTACACGTTTGGTGCACAATAAAAGGCAAATCGGACGAAGATATATATGAGAGCTATATCTAAATTTTTACCGATTATCTCCAATTTCAACAGGATTCGTCCCTGGGTCAAGCAAATGATTTGTGCAAAATTTCATCATAATCGGATAGTAAATGCAACCTGCATTTTGTTCACAAAAATACATGGACAGACGGACGGACGGACTGATATGCATAAATCAACTCAGAAAGTGATTCTATGGAGATCCTCAAAAGTAATTATGGGTCTGTCTCGCTTCCTTCTCCGTGTTACAAACAAATGCACAAAGACATAATACCCTTATCACCTTGTGGTGTAGGGTATAAATATGAAAACGTAAAACTGATCTGGAAGCCAAATCAAAAGAACTCACATGAGTCACACACACACACGTTCACATACATCCATTTTCATTCATATTTCCACAGAAGGAAAACTTAAACCTGAACTTGTCACACATACACACACTCATGCTCGTATGGTAGTATATTTGTATTTTTGATGAAAGGGAGAGGATATGATGATGAAAAAAATTAAGTTAATTTATTTCATTGCTCTTTTGTGACACAACATAAAAATACACAACACAATACCAAACAATAACAACAACAGAGCAGCAGCATCACCACCTCCGTCAAGAGACCGAGTTGGGGAAAAAGCAGAGGAAAAAACTAAGTGAAATGAAACGAATCTCTCTCCTGCTGTAGCAAACTTGAGTGATTGTTTCATTGTTCTTGCCTCTTGCATATCACGCTTTGTTGTTATTGTTATGGTCTCTGGATGCCGGAAGGAGGAAAGCGAACGAAGGCACCGAGGAAGTCAGTTGTTAGGTAATACCTTTGGTTTTGTGGGACCAACACATAATAAGTGATGGGTGGTCGTTCGTTGCCGTATCGCAAGAGAAGATGATTTAATATGTGTAAAAGTCAAATGCATGAGTTTTTCCCCCCACTTGGTGTATTTTCGTATATGTGTGCGGTTGTGTGTGTGTGTGTGTGTAAAAGTTATATTAGTATACGTATGCATACTTAAGTAGACAGAAATAGAAATGATTTAGAAGGTGTTAACTTGGAAAATTTTCTCATAAAGTATGCATAGAAAAAAATGGAGAACGTTAGAGAAGTCGATAAAAAATTGAAATGAAAATAAATGTCGGTGTATGCGTTGGGGAGTGCGAGTGAGTGGGTGTGTGCGAGAAGTTAGAGAAGTAATTGCAGAGAGGCTGTTATTATCGAAGTTAAAGTTACTACGATACGAGGGTGACGAATTCAGTTTGGGGCAAATGTGGGTGATATGAAATGGCATCTATAAAATATATGGGTATAAGTTTTATATCTGAGATGAGGGTTATTTTAATTTCGTAGTATAGCGATACCAAAAACCTTTTAACTACTTATGAGAACCATAAAGCTTAAAATCTATACAATAACAATTGTAATTAAATCAATAAGAACATTTTACATATTTTTGAAATATTCTCAAGATAATAACAGCTTTTTTGTAAGGAAAAGCAAGGTGTTATTCTTACATTTTTATGTATATTTATACCCCCCAGCATAGTAGGGAGGGAATATTAAGTTTGTCATTCCGTTTGTAACCCCTCGAAATATACATTTAAGACTCCACAAAGTATATATATTCTTGATCAGTAAAACATTCTATTTCGATTTAGCAATTTCCGTCCGTCTGTGGAAATCACTCTAGCTTCCGAACGAAATGAAGTAGGTTGATAAAATGTTACTCAAATGTGCGTTATATCCGCAGGACTTTTGGTATTGAAAGTGGGTCATGGAGGTCCACGTCTTCGTATATTTTCGGTATTTTGGTGATTTTAGCGACATTATTCAACAGAAATGTTTCAAATTTGGTATTTGAAGTTCGTAATGTATACTACATTCTATGACAGAAAATTGTGAGTGCAGATTCATGCCACATAACGAAATCTCCCGATATTCGGTACTTTAATGATTTTAGAGACATTACTCACCGGAATTGTTTAAAATCGGGTATTTAAAGTTCGTAATGGATACTAGAGCCTATTACAGAAAACTATCTGTGCAGGTCCACATCTTCGTATAGCCCTTTACTTTGATGATTTTAACGACATTATTCACCGGAATTGTTTCAAATTTGGTATTTAGAGTTCGTAATGCATACCATACCCTAAGGCAGAAAATGGTCTGTGCAGGTCCAAGTCTACGTTTAGCCCCCATATAACGGTACCCCCCGATATTCGGTATTTTAATGATTTAAGCGACGTTATTCACCGGAATTGTTTTAAATTTGGTATTTGAAGTTCGTAATTGATACTAAAGCCTATGACAGATATGCAGACATAACGGCACCTCCTGATACTCGGTATTTTGATGATTTTAGCTACATTATTCAACGATTAGAGTTTTCAAGTTTCGCATTTGAATATTCTAATGGCTTTTGACAAAAGTTGTCCGTACAGGTCCACGTCGTCATATAGACCCTAATATAACGGTTATATTCGGTATTTTTAAGATTTTAGCATAATTTTTAAAGCAATTTATTTTTTAAAAATTGACAAATTCGTTCCACCGTTCAAAAATCGGCCCTGCCGAACTTACAGCTTTTTTGCTTGTATGAATTCTTATATTAGACCCGACCCATATGTACTTTACATATACTTTTGATTAGCATAAAATTGTAAGTCGATTTAGCGATGTCCGTCTGTCTGTCTGTTGCAATCACGTGTCTTTGAAACGAATTAAGATAGAAGGCTAAAATTGTGCACAAATGTGTATTTGTCAATACACAGGTTAATTTCGTAACTGGATCATGTAGGTGAACGTTTTTGTATAGCCACCATGTAACGATACCTCTCAATATTCGGCATTTTGATGATTTTAGCGACATTATAGACCGTAATTGTTTCAAATTTCATATTGGAAGATCCTGGTGGGTACTTCCACCTATGGCAAAAATTAGGCCCTACAAATAGGTACCTCTCAATATTGGGTATTTTTGTGGTATTAAAGACATTATAGACCGAAATTACTCTTACTTCCGAAAGTAATTGAAAAATATAGAATTTGTATACCCTATACTACAAGATGCTCAGAGTATTATGTCTTTGTGCATTTGTTTATAACAGGCAAAAGGAAACGAAATAGAACCATAGTATCTTTTGATGATCTGCATAGAATCACATTTTGAGTCGACTTTTGCTTGTCCGTCCGTCCGTATGTGCATTTATTTTTGTAAACAAAGTGTAGGTCGCATTTATTGCCCGATCCAAATGAAATTTTGCTTAATTAATTTGTTTGACCAAAGGACGAACTCTATCGAAATTGCAGATAATCGGCAAAAATTTAGATATAGCTCCCATATATATGTTCCTTCGATTGTAAACCAAACTTATAACATTAGTATGGAATGCTGTATGCCCTATTTGATCGAAATTGGTTCAGATATAGTTCTTCTGTATATAGAAGACTTTTAAACAATATCCAATGTAAGACATATCCAAAAAGACTTGATCTTTCAAAATGTCTTCCATAGCGAGAAGAGGTATTCATAAATAGGAGACCTCCTAAATGACTCCAATATATATGAGTATATATGAGACTTTGACATGGTCTTTCATAATTTGGTCTTCAAAGACTCATGAAGTCTTCTCAAAATGGAAGAACTTAATAAAGTATTCTAAAGAAGTTGGATGCTAACCTAATTTTAATTAGTCTCCTGCATAGAGTAGTTCTTTAAATCGTCTTATATGACAGAGACCAGAGAGCGTTCCAAAGGTCTTCCATAGATAAAAGCCATTAAAATGGCCTTCAAAAGAAAGAAGATCTTCAAGAGCCCTATTTGGATATGCTATGTTATCATGAGAGCTTCTGGAAACGGAATTTGAATGATTTCTTCAAGTCCCTCTCTCCCGAGAACCAACATTTCCCATTGCCTTTTGCACCCGACCCCCTTTCCCACTCAATATTCCATCATATATAATATCTCCGACGAACACTGTTACAAAGCAACTGCTTCATTGCTTCCTTATGATTTGTTACAAAGTGGATTAAGGATACCACATTTATCACTACTACCGCCGCATAGCCTTCCTCTTTAAGTTATGAATAACTCAGAAAATTTGATTTATTTTAGAATCAAGATAATAAATGTTTTCATTAATACATGCATACATACATTTATACATAGCTACATATATTATACGTACATATTTCTTACTTATATGCTTGAATTCATTTATATTAAAAGTATATTTTTCTTTTGTTCTTTCCTTTTTTTTAGGATTTATTGTGGAATACGCCGAGAAATGTAAATGGTGAGTTGGTTTTGCATTCTATTTCACGGGTGGCGTGTCAATGAAGAGTCGTTTTTTTTTGTTTTCATCTAGATTTTCTTTTGAGATATATGTATCGTAATGTCTGACTTTGCTGTGAATTTTATCGGCTTATTTAAAAATGAGAGATTGAAGTAAGGTCGAAGAAATATTACAAACGCAATGATGCTTTGTACAATATGTAAAAATATCGAACTTGAGGGTAAACATTTTTAGTGGAATAAAGTTGCGAATTTTTTACGAGGCTATGAATATTCCAAAATTAATGTTTATAGAAGCCAAGAGTTCGAGTTAAAAAAAAAATAAAATTAAACGAAAAAGCTGTAATTTCGGCCGGGCCGAACTTTGAATACTCTCCGTCATTTGGAACGAATTTGGCAATTTCGAAAAAAAAATAAAATCCGTTAAAATTCCGTTAAAAATTAAAAATTCTGTTAAGATCTTAAACATGCCGAATGTAGCCATCATATTAGGGTCTATACGACGATTTTACAATATTCAAATGAGAAACTTAAAAAAATCGAATATCGGGAGATGCCGTTATAGGGGTATACGAAGATGTGGACCTGCACAGACAATTTTCTGTTTTATGCTGTAGTATCCTTTACGAACATCAAATACCAAATTTTAAACAATTCCGATAAATAATGTCGCTAAAATCATCAAAATACCGCGTATCGGGAAGTACCGTTATAAATCGGGCTATATGAAGACGTGGACCTACATGGCCCATTTTCTGCTAGTATCCATTACAAACGTCAAATACCAAATTTGAAACAATTCCGGTGAATAATGTCGCTAAAATCAGCAAAATACCAAATATCGGGAGGTACCGTAATTAGAGGGCAATACGAAGACGTGGACCTGCACAGACAATTTTCTGTCATAGGCTGTAGTCCCCATTACGAACCTCAAATGCCAAATTTGAAACAATTCGGTGAATAATGTCGCGAAAATCATCAAAATATCGAATATCGGGAGTTACCATTATATGGGGGCTATAAGAAGACGTGTATCTGCACGGACAATTTTCTGTCATAGGCTATAGTATTCATTACGAACTTCAAATACCAAAATTGAAACGTTTCCGGTGAATAATGTGGCTTAAATCAGAAAAATACCGAATATCGGGAGGTGCCGTTATATGGGGGCTATACGAAGGTGTGGACCTACACGGACAATTTTCTGTCCATAACGAACTTCAAATACCGAACTTCAATACATACCGTTATACGGGGGCTATATTAAAAACCTAAATGACCCATTTTCAATACCAAAAGTCCTGCGGACCAAACACACCAATCCGTTCGGAGGCTAGAGTGATTTCCACAGACGGATAGGTAGACAGATGGACTTATCAAGAATATCTTGAAGTTGTGGATCTAAAATGTATATTTCAAGGTGTTACAAACGGAATGGCAAACTTAATATACCCTCCGAACTATGGTAGAGGGTAGAAACAAAAAACTATGACCAAATGAAATTAATAAAATTTCAATGAGTATTTGAAAGTTGAGTTTCTTATTCATTTATAATGAAATTCAAATTTAAAAAACATTCACTTAGTATCAGATGTTTTCTTTCAAATTCGGTTTCTTTCGACAATATTAAAATGCTCTGATTGTTTTTTGTATATACAGAAAATTTATTGGCATCCTAAGTGTTCAAATATTAAATTCTCAAGAACATAGATTTTCATTAAAGATCAAAAATAAAAAATATTGTGCCAAAAACAGGCCATAGATAATAGTTGAATATCCAGCCAACGAAAAAGAAGATTACCATACCAAAGGATATGGTCTGATACTGATGATATTATGCCCATTTCATACGGAATCAACAACAACCCATAACCCTCTACATATTTACCCAAAACTAATTTGCGGATATATTTTCAATATTTGCATTTTTATGATAACAATTTCATAACATCCAAAAACTTATCTGCATTTGTATCTGAAATACAAAAATATTTTTCTATAAACCAAAAAATGTAAACCAAAAATAAGCCAGCGAATCATAAGGTCACCATCCTCCACCCAACCCCTTTCGTGGCATGCCATATAAACAAATTAAATTAGGATGATGGTACATTTACCCCACAGCTCATTGATTCTGTTTGAATAATTAGCCGTTTCCATTTTGGTTGTTGGCTGTGGCAGGAGTCAGTGTTTGTGAGAGAGTGTGTGTTGAAACATGAATTCGATATTTTTTTACAATGTGTGGTTTTTGGCACATGTTTGCATAATGAAATACTCTTGCATGTGCTTTGGAATGGAGATACACAAAAAATCAATATAGAATAACCCACACCATACAAGCATACTTTAAATATTTCTTTGTAGTCATGTAAGAAGAGAAAGGTTGTAGCCACAAGAAAGGATATAACAGTTTTTATAATGACCTAGATTGCTCTTTCACTTTCAATGAATTTACGGAACCATTTTCATACAACTGACTGCGTTTGAAAAATTTCACACTTTTTATTTTAAAAACTTCCTAATTAAATTTTAAGTGGTTGTAACTACATGCAAATCAAAATAAGTAGCCATTATTTTGCTCTAAATGTCGACAAATAAGTAAAAATCCGTCAAATTCGAACTGGCCAAACTCTTTAAACACTTCACAATTTTGAAAGTAACAATTTTAAACAATATATGTCTATAAATGCAGAGATATATTTTTCGCAGATGTTTTTTCTGGCATTACAATGTCTAGGAAAAAAACGATGAACAGGGGTGGCTAAAATTATTAAAAAAAAAAAACGATTCACCAGTTGGATCGAAATTGGAAATTTAAAAAAAAAAAAAAAAAAAAAACAACTATAAAAGTCTATAGCAGTGCGGGGCTGACCATGCGATATCCTACAAAATTATAATACACTGGAAAACCACCTTAGGTCCAAACCCGTTTCAGTAGATCATTTGAAATAACACTGCCCTGCACAAATGTTACCTTCGGTTTTTACTGGATATTTTCCTTATATTTACACTCTATGTCGTGCTGATAGATATCCAAAACAATTTCATTTAAAAGTGGTGGGCTATTTTACCCGCTAGATATAATTCAAGGGTTGTCCAAAATGCAACACTTCGACGTTGTCTTAAGTCCTAATCTCATGCAAAATTCCGTGTTGATTGTTTTTTAATTGTGACCTCTAGATCCATTGCAAGATCAAGAACGTTTTAATTTTTGATACACTTGAACCCCTAAATATACATCTTTACAAAACAATAGACTTATGAATTCTGATCCTAACTCTACCCCATGCTAAATTTCTTGAGAATCGGACGAATAATGACAAAAATGATGAAAAAATCACTTTTTAATGGCCTATCTTCACGCGATTTTCTTAAATTTTAACCTTTTCTGACAAGAGGCCATTCCGACTATGAGAGAAATGTGAAAATCATTACAAATTAAGATGGACACATAGACAGACGGGCGGACGGACATACATAGCTAGATTGACTCAGCTCGGCGACATAGGAAGATCCATATACACTTTCTTATGTCGGGGACCAATATTTCGAGGTGTTACATAATTTTTGTTCTAATCAAACTTATAATACTCTCAAAACATGGTGTTGTACAGGGTTGCCCATATTCGACGGACCCATCTGGCAATGCCATAACTTTTGACAGAGATGTCACATCGCTTAATGACTGACGCTTCAATCCAAGCAGATTTTTACCATGAACCAATACACGCCACGCGAGCGCTCTGAAATAGTTGAAATTTACATGCAACAGAAGAAGTCAATTGTGAAAAAAATGTGAGAAGTGCGCCTTCTAAGAACACCATTAAGCGTTTATACGAAAAATTTTCGACTGGTAAGGCTCTTTCTAATCCGAAGAGGGCATATAAAAGTCGACCAAGCCTTACATTTTGGAATCCATAAAGACCTTCCATTCCAAATTTCGAAGAATATCTTGAGGTAGGCCTATGGGGCCTATGTTATAACGGGGACCTATATATACCTTATCCCGCCTTCATTTTTGATATTATCGAGTTTCGAATAAATCCTTTGAAAAATGTATCCAAAATCGTCAAAATACCGAATATCGGGAAGTACACTTATTTAGAGGCTATATGAAATTGTGTTCATATCCCAGAAAAAAATTGAGATATTCTTATAGATGTAACATAACCCTCATCATTTGACCATCGGTTTATGTTTAGGAGACATATCAATGATTTCATCTGCATACCTTACCTAGGTTTATGTGTAGAAAGCCCGAAAAATCTCTAAAGTACAGAAGACACAATTTAAAAAGGAAAACTGAAACAGGATAATTTTCGACTGAGCCTCCACTTCTATGCATACACTATGACAAAAAGTTACATAAAGATCAGCTTCAAATATTGTTAAATTATACAGAACCCGAAAATGTTTGTAGATGGTTCTCTTATTTCTTCAATGTTTTCGAAATTTTAATAGTAAAATGTGTTTTGTCATAGAAGTTATTTTTAAAATAACTTCTGGGGAGAATATCCCAGACAAAAACAAGGGAACTGATGAGGATTGGTGGCTCTTTCCGAAACCTAGGTATTCCCTGCCTTACCCCCTGGTAAACATTACCATCGTTCTCCACTGATAAACAAACGTTGTTTTTATAAAAACAACAATAAAGGGATAAGCCTGACCATTTTGCAACAACGTAATTTTTAAATACTAATTTTGGGGATTTGCAAATCCGGTAATATTTTCAAAAAATGGTGCCTGTACTGAACATATGTGGGGGAAATGGGGCACTACAGACAATCTTAAGTCTTGAACTAATTGCCGAACTTTTTTGATATTGAATCTTAAACCTTCAATCTACTTAATATTGTGAGATATTGTTTAAGGAAGCTTTTCCTAGTGCCGGACCTATATCGAAAATATTTTATTAAAATAATAAATGTTGAATTACTTCTCATATAGTTTGATGTTTTATTGGCCTCCTTATAACCCGAATGTTCATTATAGGAACGTAGG